ACAATTGAAACCTATGTGTGCTCAGGTCCTATAAGAATGGGTAATAATTTTTCTTCTTTCCAAACTTTCCTTGTTCTAGCACCATTGTGGTAAACAGTTCGAGACACGGTAAACAGTTCAAAACAATAACCTTAGTCTCATATCTTCTAAGAGTGGCATCTAGTGGTGATTTCATAGAGCTACATTTTTTAGCCTAAAAGAAAAAGGCTTATTATTTCACTGCAAGTTTGTATTTATAACACAGTAGAACAGTATATGTATATCAGGTATTAGTCTGCCTGGGAGCAGAATCCACTTTATATTGTAGAATTAGCTAATCCATAAATTATACAGGCACTATAGATGTGTCATTTTACAGCGGCGGCTCATAATTAATTCCCCATAGAATTCCAGGTTTATTTTAATTTTCTAAAACTATTTACTGTGGAAAGTAATCCTAGACTGTGAGTATTTACACCTATTGCTAGGTTTTTATGCCTTTGGACATTGTGGGACGTCTTACACATTTTCATCACTGTATTAGTTTCCTTGGGATGTCTAAGCAAAGTCTCAGGCTAAGTGGCTTAAGCCACAGAAATGTATTACTTCACTGTTTTAAGGATAGAAGTCCAATATCATGGCATTGGCAGGGTTGGTTTTTTCTGAGGAATGTGAGGAAGAATCTGTTCCATGCCTCTCCTCTAGCTTCGGGTGGTTTGCTGGCAATCTTTGGCTTCCCTTGACTTTCACACACACCACTTCGTTCTTCACTTTCATCTTCATGTGCCATTCTCCCTGAATGTCAGTCTGTCTCCATATTTACCTTTTTTGTAAGGACATTAGTCATACTGAATTTAGAGTCTATTCTAATGACCTCATAACAGCTGCAATGGCCCTCGGGTTTGACTCAATGGATAGAGTGTCGGCCTGCGAACAGAAAGGTCCGAGTCTCGATTTTGGTCAAAGGCACATGTCCAGGTTGTGGGCTCAGTTCCCATGGGGAGCTTGCAGGAGGCAGCCGATCAATGATTCTCTCTCATCATGGATGTTTCTATCTCTCTCCCTCTTCCTTCCTCTCTGAAATCAATAAAAATGTATTTTTTTTAAAAAACTACAATAAGCCAATTTCCATATAAGGTGTTAAGACTTTAATAGCATATAAATTTTGCAGGAGACACAATTCAACCCATAACAACCACCGATATCATTATACCTCCAGAATTCATTTTTGCTATGTTGGTGTCAGGGTTAGTCATGAAACCGCTTTGGCCAATAAAATGTGAGTAGAAGCAATGTGTGTATGTCTAAATAAAAACTTTAAGGAATTTTTTTTCCTCTGCTGTGAAATGCAGTATGACAGAAAGAGGCTATTTCATCAGCCTATGTCACAGGGTGACAGTGACCTGGAACAGAGCAGCAGCTGACCTTTAGTGTGCGTGTAACATGAAAAAGAAATAAAATTGCCCTAGCCACTTTCACTCAGTGGAGCATCAGCCTGCACATGCCTGAGTTGTGGGCTCAATCTCCAGTAGGAGGCATGCAGGAGGCAGCCAATCAATGATTCTCTTTCATTATTGATGTTTCTATCTCTTTCCCTTTCCCTGACTGAAATCAATAAAAATATATTTAAAAAAAGAAAAGAAAAGAATTGCTATGAGAATTGTCTGAAATTTAAAAAAAAAATAATAAAGAAAGAAAGAAATCTTTATGTTTTTAAGCCAACACAATCTTGGGATCATTTGTTACTGAAGCATAAATTAACTTGAGCTGACTATCACAATAAGTACCTAACTTAAGCTAAGTGTGTGGGTTTTTTCATTCATTCATTAGCTATTTGTTCAAAACTTTCTGTGATAGGCATAGTACTATATGTTGGGTACTGTAACAGTTAATTTTATGTCAAATTAGCTAGGCCATGGCACCTAGAGATTTGTTCCAACAGCAGTTTAGCTGTCTCTGTGAAGGCATTTTTTTCTGATGAGATTAACATTTAAATCAGTAGACTTTAAAGCAAATTGCCTTCCATACTGGGGTGAACCTGATCCAGTTAAGTTGAAGGCCTCAAAAGACAAAACCCTGAGGCTCCTTCCTCCCCAAGAAGAGGGAATCTACCTGCAGGTCCCCTTCAGACGCAAGCTGCAGCATCAACTCTTTCTTGGGGCTCCAGCTTTCAGGGTTGTTCTGCAGATTTTGAACTTGCCAATCCCCACAAATTACATGCGCCAATTCCTTAATATAAATCACTATATATATATATATATATATATATATATATATATATGCACAACCTATTGATTCTGTTTCCCTAGAGCAGCGGTTCTCAACCCGTGGGTCAAGACCCCTTTAGGGGGGTCAAATGACCCTTTCACAGGAGTCGCCTAAGGCCATAGAAAATACAGATATTTACATAATGATTCATAACAGTAGCAAAATTACAGTTATGAAGTAGCAATGAAAATAATTTTATGGTTGGGGGTCACCACAACATGAGGAACTGTATTAAAGGGTCGCTGCATTAGGAAGATTGAGAACCACTGCTCTAGAGAAACTTGATTGATACAGACAACTGTCAGTGAACAAACTAGCAACAGTTCTTTCTCATAGAGCTTACAGTCTAAGAAAGTACACAGATGAGTAAACAGAAATAATAGTGTTTTTGTAGTAAATGCTGGAAAGTACTCCGTTTAATAGGAGCACATAGGAGGAGTGTCTAACCTTGACTTGGGGAATCATAAAGGCTTTCTGGAGACAATAAAGTCTAACTTTGGAACTGAAGGTGGCGATGGAATGGGAGTTAGCTAAGGGCAGAGCGAAGGTGCTGGGGACCAGGGATTAGATTGAGTATAGAACATGTATTCTCAACAGGGATTTTATTGCCCCAAAGGAAGAGAAAATTGGTGCTTGGCAGGTGAAATAAACCTTAGCTATTACAACATTTTGTGGCCATGCAAAGCTCAACTCTGTGACAAAATTTTATTCCTTAATATTTAATGGGGGAGCAGGAGAGATGATTAGAACAAATACCTAAACCGTCTCCTTCAGGGGGCACTTATGAAAAAGACCGTAAGAAACATTGGTATAGAAAGACCAATCTGGGTAGAATGATCACCTGTGGATCTTTGGAAGTGAGAGAGAACATACAATATTTGAAATATTGGAATGGTTAAGGCATAGAGTTGAGGAGAGGACTCAGGGAGAGTAGTGAGTGGAGGCCGTTGTAGCCACAAATTTTAAAGAAAAGTCTATGTGAAAGTGCATTTTCCCTCACTTATCTAAATGGTTTAAGTAAAACTGTGTCAAAATTATCTACTGCAGACTGTGCTGACTTTTTAATATATGAATCTGTATTCTGTGTTTATAGCCACTGAATGAATTACTAAGTTTTAAACATTTTTTTGAGATGGCAAAGGACAATTGTTAAACTATCCTTTTCTCTCTATCATTCAGGGACTTCTTAGTTTTATAATTATAGTCTCTAGAATAGCATCGTGTGCGTGTGGGTACTTAATCATAATGCTCCTCTGAAGGCACATTAACCTCTGGAGAATTTGCATGTGATTTACTTCACTGGAGTTTCAAAGATTAAAAATATGAGAGTGAAAAGGTACTTTTCTTGGCTCCATTATTGGGAATAGAATGAGAACAATGGTCTATTTAATAACCATTATCATTATCTTCCCCACAGATTGAAATAAAATTACTTTAATATTCTATTAGGATAATCTTTGCAAATATGCTGCCAATCATTTTTTTTTTATTTCCAGCAGCTTGTTAACAATGAACTCAAAGCTAATTCAATGCTTTTGAGAGATAGTATAAACTTAATTCTAGGATCTAAAGAGCTAAAAAAATATTATGCTGTACCATAATTTTAACTTTGAATATTTTTCTTTTTTTTTTTTTAAGGGGCCTCTGGTGAGTTATTATCTGTTTTTTAATTTTGAATATTTTTCTGTGACATCCCTAGCCTGCTCAATGTTAAATAGAACTAATTTGATGTCTAATATAACTTTTTTTCTTATTTTTGTATTGATTTGAGAGAGAAAGGAACATTGATGTGAGAGAGAAACATTGATCGGTTGCCTCCCTCACACTCCTGGACTGGGGATGGAACGTGAATCCTGGGTATGTACCCTGACCTGGCATTGAATTCATCACCTTTTGGTGCTCAGGACGACATTCCAACCAACTGAGCCACACTGCCAGCATTCTATTGTAATATAATGTTTTAAATAAGCAGCATTCTTATAATATCTTTAAAAGGCCGGTTTACAAAAAAGACAATACACGGAAATAGTTCTGAGTATGTGTTCTGGAATCAGCCTGCCTGGGTTCAGATCCTGAGTTGCATCTGTTTCTGTTTAAATGTGATTAGTTTTATAAACTTGGGCAGATGTGTAAAGTTCTGTGATCTTATCCTCTCTGTACCTCACTTTCCTCACATGTAATTATGGATACTAATAGAACCATTCCATAGAGTTATTGTGAATTTTACATGAGATAATTATGTAAAAACAGAACAGTGCCTGGTACATACACAGTCAGTTACATTAGTTGCTATTATTATTTTGTGAAACTACTCATTAAGTAGTTTTAAAACCATTTGTTGAGTGCTTCTTGTGTGTCAGGAGAAACTCAACTTGTGAAACTGTTAGTACATCTTACCTAAAATAAACCTCAGACTCAAGGTATTTTTTAAACTGACTTTATTATTATTATTATCATTATTCTCTTTAGTACATTTCAGGCCTTTAAGTTGTTTTATTTTTTAGGAAAGGATAATACTTTGGTTCTTGTGGGAAATTATAGACATCTAAAATGTGTAAGAAAAAGCACTTCTTAGGACAGCAAGTGGGAGATGAACTCCTCTTTGGAATTTTTTTGTTGGAGTCTAGCATTTGTACTTATGGTATTGTCTTTTCTAGGTTGACAATTGGGTAAAGAGTTACCCATGAATTTCTAGCATTTTTAAATTCTGATTAAAGAAATGTAAACACCTTTTTAATATTTATACCTTTCAGAAAATGTCTTCGAAATTTAAAAATGCAAAACGAATTGAAGGCCTTGATAGTAATGTGTGGTGAGTACCTTAGAATCAACAATAATACTTTGGTGAGTTTTTTATTTTCTACCCATTTTTCTATCCCCACTTGGGAATTTTTAGCCTTGTCTCAATAAACAAATGAATAAATCAACTTATTTTAATTCATCCATTAAGTGGAAATGGAAGGAAGTTAATGATCCATATAAATGTGCCAAGCCTTGTGCTAGGTACTGGAAATAGGCGGAGAAAAAACAAATTTGGTTGCTACCCTCTTGGAACTTACCTTCTAATCCATGAACTTTTCTTATGAACTCAAGTCTCTAGCAATTAATAAGAGAACCTAGCAGGGCTGATATGATTGAGAAGAATATCTATATGATTAAAGTATGTGTATCATGGAATTGAGGTTTATAAGAAACATTATTTTTTTTGTTCAGCTATCTTTTTATTAAATGAAGTCATTTTGTAGATGATAACATTTTTGTTGAGAACTCATTTTTTAAATATCTAAAACAAGTCTGATTTTTCAGTTTTATAATAAGATTATGAGGTATAAAAATTAACTCTGTAATTATAGTGATTATTAATATTAGTATTTTTTTATTTTTTTTATTTTTTATTGCCTCCCCACACTCATGCCCTCATCCCCCTGGTGTCTGTGTCCATTGGTTAGGCTTATATGCATGCATAAAAGTCCTTTGGTTGAGCTCTAATATTAGTATTTTTTATCTCAGGATTGAATTTACCAAGTTGGCTGCAGACCCTTCTGTTGTGAATCTTGGCCAAGGCCTTCCAGATATATCCCCTCCTCTATATGTGAAGGAAGAATTATCAAAGATTGCAGCAGTTGATAGCCTGAATCAGTATACACGGGGCTTTGTAAGTACAGGAGGACCGAGTGGGGTGTGAGCTTGTAATTTATATTGTATTGTGTATGAGCAGAGGTCTATGTAATTAGCCTTCTGGGACCAACTGTCCCAACCCGATAACCAAGGAACCCCTCCCTTTCCCTTGTCTGCTAGGTTGAGCTGTCCCCTACTTCCAGCTCCTCCTCGGTCCTGCTTGACCCTTCCTTCCTCTGCTGTTGTTGGAGAACGGTCCTGTGGCAACAAGGGAGGGAGAGAGTATTCTTGAGACATGTGTTTCTTTCCCATTACCACCTATGCAGCCTCAGCACTGGCCTCTTAATTATCCTCTAATTCCAACTACAGACTTTCTTCTACTCTACCTCAGCCCAACCCCCATCCTTCTGTGTTTAAATGCCCAGGATAACCAGAGATTTCCTAGAATGTAAAAAAAAAAAATCAGCTACCACAATATACTAAATGAATTTTGCAAGGTTGCAAGACATAAGGCCAATATACAGAAATTAATTATACTTATATACATAAAAAATGAACAGTTGGGAATTAAAATTCCTTACATACCATTTATAATAGCATCTAAACCCATGAAATATTTAGAATTGAATTTTTAAAATGTAAAATCTGTACACTGAAAACTATACTACATGTCTGAAAAAAATTAAAAAATACCTAAATAAATGATGTTCATGAATTAAAAGACTAAATATTGCTCTTGCTGTGTGGCTCAAGTGGTTGGAGCATTGTCCCATATATCAAAAGGTTATGTGTTCAATCTGAGAGGCAACCAATTGCTTTTTCTCTCACACATTGATCTCTCTCTCTCTTTCTCTCTCTCTCTCTCTCTCTCTCTCTCTCTCTCTCTCTCTCTCTCTCTCTCTCTCTCTCTTTCTTTCTCTTCTTCCCCCCTCCTTCCTTTCTCACTAAAATCAATAAACATCCTTGGGCAACATTTTTTTTTAAAAAAGACTAAATATTGTCAAAATGATAATTCAATCTAAATTGATTCATAGCAGAGTTTATCAAGCTATGGCCAATGGCTGAATCTGATGCACTCCTGACTTTTTAAATAAAAGTTAGTAGAACATAGCCATGCCCATTCATTTAGGTATCTTCCAGTTTTTGTAGACATATATGAGTGCATATGAGTGCATGTTTTTATCTTGGTATATGCACTGGGGATGGTGTTGTACTGTCATCAGGCTGAGGACATCAGTCACCTCTGGGGAAGGGAAGGAAATGATATTGAGGAGAAATCATAATTTTCCTTTACATATCTTTGTCTAGTTTAATTATTATAAGAAGCATGAATTATTTTTGTAATTAAAATGTTTAAAAAAAACACAGACCCTTATCATCTTTTTAAAAATATATATTTCATTAATTTTTTACAGAGAGAAAGGGAGGGGGATAGAGTTAGAAACATCGATGAGAGAGAAACATTGATCAGCTGCCTCCTGCACACTCCCTACTGGGGATGTGCCCGCAACCAAGGTACATGCCCTTGACTGGAATCGAACCGGGACCCTTCAGTCTGCAGGCTAACCCGTTACCCTTATCATCTTAAGAAAAGAATGATAATTGATTTCAAATCATGCTTTGCTAGAATTTTTTAGACCTGGTATTAAAGGAAATTTTGGATTTGAGAATGGTGATAAACTTCTCTTGCTCTTTCCACAATTCATGTCTATTTTTTTTAGCATGTCGTCTTTTTCTCTCGTTATTGTTTTTTACTTTACTGACTATGTTCTATTACCTCCTCTTATTATTTATACCCAGTTTCTCTAATATTATAATATCTCCTAATTTTAAAGCTATAGCTTTGTTTTTATTGATTATATTCTGAAAGGAATGAATGCAACTTTGACCCAAAAAAATGACTCCTTTTCTTCATATGAACTGGGGTGGACAACTTACAAGGAACCTTAGGCCTCTTTACCTCACAAGCCTGGGGTGTATCCAGCCAGCTTCCCTCTTCTCCTGCATCCTGACCCAGTTTATCCCTCTGGAGCCCAGGTGCTTTCCAAGCAAAGCCATGTTTCCTGCACTTGGACACTCTCACAGGTGACAGAAAACCAGGTGGTTCCCTTAAGCAAAAAGAGGAAGTAATGCTGGATAGAAAAAAATAAATATTGACTTTGGTACATAATAAGACAAAAGGGGGAATAAGAGAGGGAAGAAAGAAGGAGAGAAGGGAACAGATCATGGAAGAGAAGACGGAGGAGGAGCTGAGAAGTCGGGCCTCCTCATATCTCAGACTTGGTACATTTACAGTCCTCTCAGTCCTCATGTTCAAGTTGTTCTTCTAGGTAACACTCCCTCTTGGCTCTCAATGTGAATAAGGTTCCACTTCTTCCTCACATGTGTTGCCAACACGAACGTGCATTTTTTTGGTGAATTTCTTTCCTCTCGCCTTAGTTCATTGGTTGGAATAACCTGTTCTGCTGCAACTTGGAAGAACAGAATCCTGGGATGAGATATAGTTAATGCTGGTTCCTGGCTGATTTTAACTAGGAAAAAAATATCTAACTATATTCAATATGATTTAATTACTGTTAAAAATAGTTATTAAATGTGATCTAATTACTATCAAAATGTATTGTCAAAAAATATTTGGTGTTGAAATCAATTTTTAATCAAAGCAAATAATTTTAAATTCCGTGTTCCAAAATCAATAATTTAATAGGAAGTTTTTAATCATTAGCCAGTCTTCCTGGCGATTCATGTAGGAACCCTCTGATCATAGGGAAAAATTTTTTAATTAACTGCCAATTAGAAAATATTCTTTGGATAATTATAAAAACCCAGATGTTTTTTAAAAATTCAATTTAGAGCCAAATTATTTCAAAGAAGTAGTTATCATAATTAAAGTTTTTTTTTTTTCAACAGGGTCATCCACCACTTGTGAAAGCTCTATCCTGCTTATATGAAAAGTTGTATCAAAAGCAGATCGATCCAAATAAAGAAATCCTTGTGACAGTAGGAGCATATGGCTCTCTCTTTAATACCATTCAAGGATTAATTGATGAGGGGGATGAAGTAAGTATTAATATTACCATATTACCCAATTCATCATTATTATTTGTCCTGCCTTTGAATCTTTTACTTGTTTTATGCTATTTTTTTAATTATTTTTGAAGTATAATGCATATACAGTAAAGTTCACAAATCTTGAATATACAGCTCAATAAATTTTTACATATGTTTATGTGTGTATCTCCATGTAACCACAAACCAGAAGATATAATACATTTCCAGCACCCTTTTGCCCCTTCCTAGTCTATATTCTCCAAGAGATACCCACTCTTCTGTTTTCTATCACCTGCTCTTTAACTGGATATAATACCATCATATAGTATATACTCTTGAATCTGGCTTCTTTCATTTTGTCTGTGAAATTCATCCATTTTGTTGCATGTATTCTATTCTTATTTTTAATGCTTATTTAGATAAAGGCAGGTAGAAGAGGCCAGAAATGATGGGGAAAATTAATCTTAGTTTGCACTGCTAAAATAACCTTTCATCTCAACTTAATCAGCACCTAAAATAGTGAGCGCCCAGCCCAGCTGGTGTTGCTCGGTGGATTGAGCATCATCCCATGCACCAAGGGGTTACTGCTTTTATCCCTGGTCAGGGCACATGCCCAGGTTGCAGACTCAATCCCCAGTAGAGGCATGCAGAAGGCAGCCAGTCAGAGTCTCTCTCTCTCTCTCTCTCTCTCTCTCTCTCTCTCTCTATCTCTCTCTCTATCTCTATCTCTATCTCTATCTCTCCCTTTCCCTTCCTTTCTCTCTAAAAAAAAAGAAAAAGAAAATCACTATGTCTCTCACCAAGGTTACAAAGATAGGTCGTCTTAGTCCCTGAGAATTTCACAGACTAATTAAAAACTTGTTCCGGTTCATTTCTTTGTCCTCCTAACACCTAACATAGCACATTGTATAGTAGGTACACAATGTGCATTGAATGACTAGGACAAACAAAGGGCCTTTAGGATGTAAGGGCCTCTTTTATTCCAAAGAGAAAGGCCTTGGACAGGTATTTCATGTCATCGGAAATAACAAACAGTTTTAAAAAGTGTGAATTTAGAATAGTAATTAGAACCATTTACTCAAAAAATGTTAAATGAGACAGCTTACTATTAACTTGTGGAATTATAAATTGCTCTTGCCCGATTTTTCAAAAGCAGTTGCTATATATGGAAAGTACCATAAAGATGCTTATACCCTTTACTCTAGCAATCATCTGAATTTCTTCAACAGACTCTTTAAAAATAGAGAAACTGCACATACTCACAAATAGACATAACATTGTTATTTAAACAAGCAAACAATAAGAAAAATTACTCTAGAACTCAATAGGCTCTCAAATAGCCATTAAAACAATAAATATTAAAACTATAATTATATGAAAGTTTTGTGAAATATTGCTAGGTTTAAAAAAGATAGGAAGAACATTTGAATGTATATAATGCTTACAAATTATGTGTTCAAACTCTCCTTTTAGAAAAGCAAAGGGTTAGGATGCTAGAGCCAGGCTGGCAGATTGTGGGAGGGATGCTGACTGGGCTGAAATCCAGCCCCTGAGTGATGGAAAGAGAGCAGGCAGGGGCAAGGGGACTAGGAGTATACATACCAGGGACTAGGACAAAACGACAAAATCCAGATATGTCACCTGGCAGGGGAAATGTGGAATCAGACAATTACAATAGCATCCTAACTGGTCTCCCTGTATTCACTCTTTGTTTCTGGATGCTTTTGAGGAAAGGGAAAATTTTTACTTTCAAGATAATACTTAGAAATTAGTACTGCACCACCGAGAGCGTCGCAGTGTTCTCTTTCTTTATAGTCTGGCTTCTGCCACCATCCGACATTTTATCTCCTTACTTGAAATTTAAATAAACACTTAATGTTTTTGGATGGAACATCCCTTTGAGAATGTGATGAGAGCTGTGGTCCCTTTCCCCTCAAAAATCTACTTATGCTCCTATAAAACTGCATGCAATTCCCAGGTCCCCACTGTGAACCTTTCTATTGATCGCCCTAAGAGGTCCACGGCTCCAGTGAAGGCTCCCAATGAGTTTATCCCCACGGTCTCTTCCATTCAGACGTTAGCTTCATGCTGCATCTCAGCTTATAGTATGGTGCCTCTCACACAGCGGTTACACGGTATTTCTTAAATGAGTCAATGATTGATGGAATGTATTCTTATTTGGGTGTATTTCAGGTCATAATAATCGTGCCTTTCTATGACTGCTATGAGCCCATGGTGAAAATGGTTGGAGCAACCCCTGTTTATATTTCTTTAAGATCTGTAAGTTCACCAATACATTCACATGCCTTAAGAAGTTTGAAAAGACCAATTACTTTGTCACCGATAAACTTCCTACTTTGATTACATTTGGGGATTTACTATATTATCTCTACTCTGACTGAAGTTAACAACTGGCGTTCAGGGGGGAACTTTTATTAATTTATCATGTGTTTGCCATGTGTTTCTGTTTGTGTTAGCATCCACATTGTATGTAATATTATCTTTTGTGGTCAATCAGCTCCCCCACTGATGGAGCATAACCAGATTAGAGACCGTTCTGACTCACTTTTCTAGCACTGCTCCCCAGTGACTGGCAGTGCAGGGCAAAGCTGGGTGCTCAATAAATGCTTGTTGAATTCTTTATCTTTAGGAATATCATATAGAACCATTGTCTTTTTAAAAACCTTTTTAAAATAAGTAATATGCTAAGGTGAATCACAGACTCTTCTGCTAGTCTTAGTAGTATGAGAGATGTTAACCATAGTTGTCTCTGGCTCCTTTGAAGGACTGTGGGCACTGTAATAGCTGTTAATGTGGACAGAGTCCACTTTTTCTGTGTCACAGGTATGAGTGTGAGACACAAGTCCTCTTGGGCTCTTAAGGCAGAACGAAAGCTTAGTTATTTCTGTTTATTTTCTTGGTTAGTCATTTATTCAATTACATTTCCCACCCCTTTCCCACCCCCTTTTTTTTTTTTCTTTATTAGGTTATTTATTTGTATGACAGCAAACATGAATTAATTGAATTAAATCATATCTTCATTTTTCATGCCTAGAAACCTGTTGATGGGAGAAAATGGTCTAGTTCTGACTGGACATTGGATCCCAAAGAACTGGCAAGTAAATTCAACTCCAAAACCAAAGCTATTATACTAAATACTCCACATAACCCCATTGGCAAAGTAAGTGAGTCTTTGATCTCTTTATACAGTCTTCTGATCCATCGTTTTCTCACACAGTGAAGAATAATTGCTCTGCTCTTGTTCCCTTTAATATGCATAGGTGTACACCAAAGAAGAACTCCAGCTAATTGCTGACCTTTGCATCAAATATGACACACTCTGCATCAGTGATGAGGTTTATGAATGGCTTGTATATTCTGGAAATAAGCATCTAAAAATAGGTACTGATCTTTATGTAGAGTTACAAACCTCAATGTGTGTGGGCATGTGTGCAACAACTGATTGGGATGGATCCCAGGACAGCTTTAACATCATCTTTGTAGTGGGTGTTGTACAAGTACTTACACAAGAGATTTGAATAAGTGGTACTTGAGTGAGTTAATGAGAAGATTGAAGGACAGACAGTGCAATACTTAAGGGAGAGATTTTAGATCACACTAGAAACACTATGAAACCAGAGAAGCAATACTGCTATAGCCGTGGCTTTTTATCAAGAATCCAGCTCTAACTTGGTACATAAGACATAGTATTGTAGTTTACTTATTCCTGAACTGGATAGTCTCTGCCAAGCAAATTGCCAAGTCAAAGGAAGAAATTACAGGAACAGTGAGCTAGTGCTGCTTTGCCCTTGCCTAGGACTTTGCCACTATGACTAGGCCATCTCACAAAGTCCATGGTGTCTTCTGGGGCAGTGGTTGGCAAAAAAAGGCTCTTTGGCCTTTTGAGCTTTTAGCAAAGGCCAGCTTAAAAGTACCCCAATCCTATCTAATAAAAGAGTGATATGCAAATTAACCATCACTCTGTTATACCCACAAAGACACGCCCACCGGCCAATCAGGAGTGAGTAGGCAAATTAACCCAACCAAGATGGCTACTGCCACAGAGAGAGCAGGAGGGAGGCTTGGGTTTCTCCGGCAATGTAGGAAGCCAAGCTTTCTGCACACCCTGGCCAGCCCAGGCCTCCACTCCAGGCTACAAAGTTTCAATTATAGAAGGTAAATCCCAATGAAAATGGCAGCAGCCACGGAGCTAGAAAGAGCAGGCGGCTCGGGTTTCCCCTGGCAGTGGAGGAAGCCAAGTTTCTGCAGCCCTGGCCTGCCTTGGCCTCCCCTTCTCAAGGCTACAAAGTTTCAATTATAGAAAATAAATAAATCCCAACAGAAATGGCTTTGTCCATGGAGCGAGCAGGAAGCTTGGCTCCACTCCAGGCTACAAAGTTTCAATTATAGAAGATAAATAAATCTCAGATGCTGCTGCTTGAGTCACCAGGGGGCATGGCCAGCCTGCAAACCACCACAGGCCCCTCGCCCAGGCCACCCCACACCCCAAAGGAACCACCACCCTGATTCAGGACACCCTTCAGGGCAAACCAGCTGGCCCCCACCCATGCACCGGGCCTCTATCCCAGTGGTTGACAAACTGCTGCTCTCAAGCCACATGCAGCTCTTTGGCCCCTTGAATTTGTGGCTCGCAAGCCACAGTTTGCCAATCACTGCTCTAAAGTATCACTCAAATCATTGTCCTAAAGCAGTGGTTGACAAACCGCAGCTCAAGAGCCACATGTGGCTCGCAAGCCACACTTTGCCGACCACTGCTCTATCACATTTAATAAAAGAGTAATATGCAGATTGACCATCACTCTAACACACAAGTTAGCTGCCCCCATGTGGTCAAAGATCCTGCCCCCTGTGGACACAAGATGGCCACCACTTGATGGCCAGCAGGGAAGGGCAGTTGTGAGGGACTAGGCCTGCAAGGGATGGCAGTTGGGGACGATTAAACCTGCAGGGAAGGGCATTTAGAGGTAACCAGGCTGGCAGAGGAGAAAAGTAGGGGGTGACTGGGCCTGCAGGGAAGGGCTGTTGGGGGGGACCAGGCCTGCAGGGGAGGGGAGTTAGGGGTGACTAGGTTTGCAGGGGAGGGCAGTTAGGGGCAAACAGGCTGGCAGGGAAGCAGTTAGGCATCAATCAGGCTGGCAGGGGAGTGGTTAGGGGGTGAACAGGCTGGCAGGCAAAAGTGGTTAAGAGCAATCAGGAAGGAAGGCAGGCGAGCAGTTGGAAGCCAGCAGTCCTGGATTGTGAGAAGGGTCCCAGATTGGAGAGGGTGCAGGCTGGACTGAGGGACACACACCCCCATGCATGAATTTCATGCACAGGGCCTCTAGTTAAGTTAATAACAATGTACCTACCTATATATTGATAGTTTAAGTTTAAAAAATTTCGCTCTCAAAAGAAATTTCAATTGTTGTACTGTTGATATTTGTCTTTGTTGACTAAGGAGTTTGCCGAGCACTGTTTTGGGGTAACCCAAATTTTTATGAACTCTTTGCACTTGCCCTTCCTATGCCTGAAAACACTTTTCCCTCCGAAGTACACAGAGTTCAGTCTCTCACCTCCCTCAGGTCTCTATTCAAGGGTCAATTTTTTGGGCCACAGTTACACCTCTACTCCCAGTACTTTGTCTTTTTTCTGTTCTGTTTTGATTTTTCCTCCATAGCAAATACCAGGATCCATGTGTTTTACTTTACAAGAAGGAAGGGATTTCTGTTTGCTTGGGTGTCTGAATCTTCCGTTCCCAGTCTAGGGTCTTGCACATGGTAGACGATCAGAAATTAGTTGTTGAATAAATGAATAGGAGGTATGAAGGAAGGATAACTAAAATCACTATGGCAGAAACCAATAATTAAAAAGTATACTTATATATAAATATGTATTTCCAGCATCATAATCACCCCTACCGTGCATTACAAACTGCTGTAGAGATAGAGGGGAAAGCAAATGTTTGTGGGGCTCAACAAATGATGGAAGTAGGAAGAACATCCCTACCAGATAAACTTACAATCCTGTGGCAAAAAAGGCATGAAAGATCAAGATAAACTTAAGAAAGATCAGTGGTTTCTAAGGATTTGTTATAGTGACTGGCAGGTATGACAGTGGGAAAATAGGGTGATTCTGAGGGACCTTATATATGAAAATAGAGTAAACTGTTGAGGAGTGTAAAAATAAAACTGTCTTTCAAAATGAGAGACAACAAGCATTTACTGAGATGAATAAGAATAGCTATTCTGGAATCATTCATTCAGGCGAAAGCCCCAATAAAGTCCTATTAGGAGACAAAGGTGATGGGCATTGATGAGAAAGGGAAGGGGAGTTCTTACATCAGCAGAAGAAAGGCGTTCCTATTGGTACACACAGCAGGTTAATTTTAACCAGCAATGTTCATTTTCAGTAGTCATTAGTCCAGCAGTCTTAATAACTAATTCCTCATTATCTTTGAAAATAGTTCTTTGGGACACACGTTTGCTCAAGCCCAGCCCGAAGATTATTTTGTCCTGTTTTTACCATTCCAAAACTTTTGAGGCATGAGACATGCAAGGCAGTTCCTCTGACAGGGCAACTATGGCTCCATTTTAAAATGGCTCCATTTATATGTATTATTGTTTATAGGTCAGTGGTTCTGAAACTTACGTCAGTGGTAGAGCACCTTGAAGCCACAATGTCTGCATCATGAAATAGTGATATATTGCATTCCACCCCTGAAACTAGAAGCAGTTTTCCTGGCAGAAATTAAATAATTAGAGTTCAATGTAAAAATCATGGGATAAAAATTCTGTGCATATTTTTCATAACAAAGAGCTATTGAAATAAACACGTTTGAGGTTTTCTGATATTGGCATTAATATTCATTTAGTAAATGCTCATTTGTTTCACAATTGGTAGCACTCACTGTCAGATAAGTGCTAGCATTTATATTAAGTGCTTCATACAATTTTGTTAAGGAAAACCTAGTTGATTTTTTTTTTAAGTTCTACACATTAATTTGATCACCGGAGAGAGTACCAGGGAGCACACTTTGAGAACTAGTGCAAAAGGTATGGCAAGGCAGGGGAATTGATTACATAATTGGATTTGTTTTAAAAAGGTAAGAACCAGCTGCAGGTGAGGATTGTAAGTCAGTCAGAGGCCCTGGTAGTGGAGATGATAAACGCATACTGTTTAGAAGGGGAAACTCCACAGCACAGAGTATAACGTTAAAATGTGGGAAGGGAACAAGCAAGAATGATTCTGAGATCTCCAGCCTGGAACAAGCAAGAATGATTCTGAGATCTCCAGTCTTAATTAGTTATTAAGACTGCTGGACTAATGACTACTGAAAATGAACATTGCTGGATGAGGCCCTGCATCGAAGATGGAGATGGAGATGGGAGAGCAAATTTGTGGGGAGGAGTTGAACCAAGGAAATTCCTGCTACTCATGCTTTAGTTTTGCTAAGTTTTAGTGTCTATAAGACACAAATGTCTGAAGGCAAGTGAAATTATAGGCCTGCTGATCAGGATCAAATTAGGAGGTAGAATGTTAAACATAGAAAGCCAGAAGCAAACTGTGATTCTGTGTCAAAACTGCATCAAAGTTCACCTTCACCTGTCTTCTTGCTGACTTCTGTTTTGGGCCATTTGAACTATTCCAGCCAATATGGACAATTAACTTTTGGGTAGATACTTTTAGGTTAATTTTTATTAAGTTGGTATTATTTTATGTTAAATGATTTTAAGTTTATTTGATTGATTTAAAATAAGTATTTATTTTAAATAAAATAATTCTGTTTAATTAATTAGATTATTTTGTTAAAGTTACTAAGTTTTGTTTAGATTAAGCAGAGAGGGAGAGGTATCTGCATAATGAATAAATATCTATTCTAATAAAAGGGTAATATGCTAATTAGACTGGGTCAACCGGACATCCAACTTCCTTCTAGACAAAGCCATGGTGGTGAGGGCCAAGGCAAAGGCAGTTAGGGGGTGATTAGGCCGGCAGTCTAGGGCAGTTGGGGGTGACCAGGCTGGCAGAGGAGGGCAGTTGGAGGCATTAAGCAGGCAGGCAAGTGAGTGGTTAGGAGCCAGTGGTCCTGAATTGGAAAGGGTGCAGGCCGACATGGATTGGGCCTAAACCAGCAGTCGGACATCCCACAAGGGGTCCTGGATTGGAGAGGATTCAGGCTGGGCTGAGGGACACCCCCACCCCTTGTGCATAAATTTTGTGCACCAGGCCTCTAGTAATTTTATGTTCATCCTAAACCATGTTCATGTCTATGTGAGAATGACTCAAAGCTTTAGAGTTTTAGTTAACTCCATTTAGAAATATTGTCTCAGACATTACTTGAAATTATTTTAAAACCTGTGTTATATTTAAACCTTATGTTATTTTAGAAGTCCTTCATGGTAACAGTGTATTATTATATTTGTTAGAGATAACAAGATATATCTAATATTATTGTTTTAATAATATTATTTGCTAGAGATAACAAGACATATATTTTTAACTCAGATTTTTTAGTTGTTACAACAGCCCATACAGTTAAACCATGGAAAAAATGAATTCACTGTTTCATTATTTAGAGAGTAATTTGGTTGCATGAAAACTTATTCTATCAAATACAGTGGCCTTTGTTACATGAAAGATACAAAATGGCTATTCCATCAATTTTCAGAGTACAATAGTAGCTCTTTGATATAACACAATAAGGCTCTGTAGCCACACATCATGAGATTACATCCTCTTCATGGCACAGAGACTGTTATCCTGGTGTGGTTCTCTTCATCGTGACTCTAGCCTTATCTGACTTCCACTGAAGCCCAAGTTGCCTGTGAGTAACTGTTACAGCTGCTGTGGCTGGTTTAAGGATCACGGGTCCTAAATGAGAGGTGCAAAGACCAGTTGCCTTTCAGATGTAACTGCAAGCTAAACTCACTGATACTGGATATAGTTTTTTAAATCATCAGATCTGCAAAGACTTATTTTTTATTTTTTGCCTCTGGTTACTATGGTCACACTCAGTGCTGTGGTCATCTGTTTACATTAACTTCAGTGGCTCCCAAATCTCTGAGATTGAGAGGACATGAACATCTAGATGTTTTTAAATTACTTAGGGCTCCTTTTATTGAAAGAGTGGATTTTATCCCAATTGGATCAGACTCTTGATTCAAATGATATCTCCAGGTTTCTGTAAAAAATACATTTCAGTCAACAAAAGAAACCTCTCTTATGGAAGAGATAGGATAATACCCTGACATTTGTATCCTAACCTATTAAGATTTGGGAAATCAGTGTAAAATTATTTGTAAGCTATTTATCTGATCAGCTTATATCCACTTTTATATGGCTAACATAGGCACCATCAAATTAGCTTTCCTTTGAAATACTAAATTAGATTTGATATTGTGTATGAAACCTACATTTGACAGGAGTACTCTTTAATTTCTGTCATATGTAACTTACAGTGAAAACATATTAGGATTGTGTTTATTTCTATGAATAATTTTTTTTCAAATATTTTATCTAAATATTGTTACTAATAGGCCTTTCTGATTTTTTTAATGTATTATTACATAAGGAGAGTGGTACTCTGCATTATGCATAGTTTAGATTTAGCTCTGGTCCAATAGTAGGTGGCACATGTGTCATGGTATTCTTTGAAATACTGTGGAAGTCTAGAACTGTCTCAGAACTTGAAGGGCTATAATTGTTTATGTACAATATTAGGATATTCCTTCTTCTAATGGACTCTGAATATTCATTTATCTTATGTTTTTGTTATACTCCACAAAGAATACAATTATACTTTTCTGACTTACACTGTTTTCCTACCTTTACAAATACTGGCAGGTGTTTCATGATAGACTGAAACTATGTATACATTCATTTTGGAAATTTCTTTAGCTACTTTACATTTTAGTAAACTTGAGAAGATTACTTTAAGAAAACAGCTTAGCCCTAATTGGTTTGGTTCAGTGTCAGTCTGCAGACCTGAAGGGTCCCGGATGCAATTCCAGCAAGGGCACATGCCCCCCTTGTGGGCTCAGTTCCCAGTAGGGGGCATACAAGAGGCAGCTGATTAATAATTCTCTCATCATTGATTATTTCCATCTCTCTCTCACTCTCCATTCCTCTCTGCAATCAATAAAAATATTTTTTTTAAAGAAGAAAGAAAACGGCTTACTCCCCTCCACAGAGATGAGTATTTGTTTTCCTGTTGTGTGTATCAGCACTCTTAGAACAATACAAGAACATCTATTGTGCCTCTAAAAAATAAGAAAGAAAAAAAAAGTGGGGTTGCATGTGAAGAACTTCACAACTAAATTATTGAATCCAAAAAACAATGTTGTAGGTGAAATAACAGAGAAATAATGTACCACTTCATTTTGTACATCCAGGGCTTCATTTTCAGCATTCCCTTTGCCCAAAATTTACCTTCCTTCCGGCTTCCCTGCCTGGAAAACATTTCCTAATGTATGAGTTTCAGCTCAAGCATTACTGGATACAGAGAGACACCCTCACACCTTCTATTTTTGCACAATACTCCATGCCTGTTGTTATTACAGTGTCACACTGTATTACAAGCGTTGTCTTACTCATCTCCTACCCCCACTAGACATTACCCCCTGAAGATAAGAACTGTGTCTTTCTTGTCTTTGTTTCCTCTAGACCTAGCTTAATCCCTGGCACCTGATCGCTGCTAATAAATGTTTAACAAGTGGATGAATAAATGAATGAATGGTTTTATTAAAGATATCAGTCAACTTGAAACCTTTAACAGTCATTTCTCAGTATCGGTGGCATCTGTATTTGTAAATTTACCTACTCACTAAAATATATTTGTAACCACCAAGTCCTTACACTGCTTCTTTCTCAGACCTGTGCAGAGGGGTCACCTGGTATGCATGTTCCCAGTTAAGGTCAACAAGGCAATACTTTGCCTTCTTGTTGCAGCTCCTACTATTAGCAAGCATCCTTTTAATGGTGATTTTGCTATTTAAAGTGGCCCCTAAGCCTGGGGCTGAAGTGCTGTCTAATATGTCTACTGTCAGTGCAGGAAGACTCCGTTGTGAATTGTGGAGAAAGTATTTGTGTTAGAGAAGCTCCATTTGAGCACAAGTTCTAGTGCTGTTGGCCATGGGGGTATTACAGGGTGGTATCGAAAAGGTGTGGGGCTTCTTTTAGGGTGAAAAACGTTCTAAAACTGATTGTGGTGATGGTTGCACAACTCTGTGGGTATATTCAAAACATTGAATTGGATATTTTAAATGAGTGAATTATATAGTGTGGGATTGATGTCTCAATAAAGCTGTTAGTAAAACACATATACATTCATGCACGCATGCACTCACAGGCATACAGATTGCTGGGCCCTACCTCCAGAGTTTCTGATTCAATAGGTCTGTGATGCAGACCAAGAACTTGCCTTTCTTACAAGTTCCGCGGTGTATTAATATTTGCTGGTGTAGGGGCCACATTTTTAGAATTGTTGTCCTAAGGATTCTGTAGATATAGATTCAGAAAATGGGCAATAGACACCTAGCCAGTGTGACTCAGTGGTTAAGCATCAACCTATGAACCAGGAGATCATGCTTTGATTCCTGGTCATGGCACATGCCTGGGTTGTGGACTCAATCCCCAGTAGAGGCCTACAGGAGGCAGCCGATCAATGATTCTCATCATTGATGTTTCTAGCTCTCCCTCTCCCTTCCTCTCTGAAATCAATAAAAATATATTTTTTAATAAAAAGAAAATGAGCAGAAGAGAGGTGAGCTAAACAACAGCCAGGAGTACAACCAAAATGGGCTATGGAATGATTATACTCAACACACAGCTACTGTTAACACTGGGTGCTGGGTGCCACAGCTTGTGTGACCAATATACCAAACCAGCCCAGAACACTGCCTACTGGCACTTCTGTCACTCCAACCCCTGGCAATAATTTTGCTACTTTATTTTTTAAAATATATTTTATTGATTTTTTACAGAGAGGAAGGGAAAGAGATAGAGAGCTAGAAACATCGATAAGAGAGAAACATCCACCAGCTGCCTCATGCACGCCCCCTACTGGGGATGTGCCCGCAACCAATGTACATGCCTCTGACCGGAATCGAACCTGGGACCTTTCAGTCCGCAGACCGCTCTACCACTGAGCCAAACCGGTTTCGGCTAATTTTGCTACTTTAAATGAATCAGTCTATTACATATTATTTTGCTGTGATATAATGTTTTCAAGCATTGTAACATTTTCAACTGTGTTTGAGTTAAAGTTACAATGTCTTTAAAAAAGCCTATTGAAAGCCTATAACAATACTGACTGTACTATGATAACATTTATATTTTTATATTATACAAAATATAGATTGATTGGAAAGCAATCATTTAACTTTTTTTTTTTTTTTTCCTCTTCAGCCACTTTTCCAGGTATGTGGGAGAGAACAATAACCATAGGAAGTGCTGGAAAGACTTTCAGTGTAACTGGCTGGAAGGTAAGAGGAGGAATTTAATTGCTTAACAATAGGCATGTACTTTATATCTTGTAGATTTTTGTGTGTTTTAAATGAACATATATTTAGTTTATACATTTTTATACTTAGTGATTATTTGCTTATAATTTACTCATTCAGCCTTCATATTGGCCTTTGTTTTCTTTGGGATCTAATAATTTCTTTTAAGTAAGAAAACATAGGTAATTATTTTATAAGTAACCAACTAATGACACATTTTTCTTTGCAAAGAATGTTCAGATTGCTTCCTATGCAAATCAAAGGAGAACAAATGCTAATAGCAATATTTTGGCACTTATATTATGTGCTGGCTTCTTGATGCTTTATATGTGCATATTCCTTTCATTCTCATAACCACATTATGAGGTACATATAATCTATTATCTCCATTTTAAAGACAATAAAACTAAAAACACAGAGAAGTTAAGGGACTTGCCTAAGGTTACACGGCTAATAAATTCAAGCCAGGGCTTGCAAGCTGACTTCCAAATGTATGCACTTAGCCACTGCACTCTGAGGCACAACAATTTATCCAGTCGAAACTTGATTATCTTCAAATCTCACGTCTCCTAACCATGGCTAAGAGGCCAGGGACTAGATACAGATGGGGTGGGGGGAAGAGAAGTATACCTGGGCATGAAAGGCCAACTCAAAGGATCCTTGTGATAAGTTATTCTATATTTTGACTGTGTCAATGGCAGTATTCTATTGGCAAGATGTCACCATTGGGTAAAACTAGGTCAAGAGTAGAAGGAATCTATATTCTTTCTTACAACTGCATATTAATCTACAATTATCTCAAAATAAAAAGGTAATTAAAACAAAAACAGATGCCTGCAGAACCAAATAGAGGAAGAATCCTGTAGGCCCTAATTCATAGTTACTTTAATCTATATGTAGTTCAAACAAGCTTTGGTACAATAGTTTAGACCTGCAGAATATCAGAAGTAGCAAACTAGAAGAGAAAAAGATGATAATGATTGCAGGGACTATTTACCTTCTGAGAGCAGAGCTTAGTAACTCCATTTGGAAACTTTGACACAAAAAGAAGTGTTGAACTGATTCTAAAGCTGAGCTACTTTCATAGTATGAACAATTTTGAATTGAATATATTTAATAATTGCATAAAGCTTATCTACTTTATTAGATTTGATACATACAATTAGGTTCATTTTTTTTAAATTTGGTTTTCTCTGTTCCTTTTCCAGCTCGGCTGGTCCATTGGTCCATATCATTTAATTAAACATTTACAGACAGTTCAACAAAACAGCCTCTATACCTGTGCAACTCCTTTACAGGTAGGTGTTATGGTAACGCGAGGTTGAGGCACGGTCTTTCAGTGAAGGTGTTACCTTCACGTTGTGTGTTTGAATGGCCTTAGTTATCTCCTTCGTGTCCTCTTTGAGCAGGGCTTCTGGTATAAGGCTGTTGAAGTGATCGAGGAGAGAGACAGCAGTGGACTGAACCAATATAGGGACGATAGAAGTGGTGAAAAGGGGTTGGTTCTGAATATATTTTGAAGGTAAATGCCGATGGATCACACGTTGGTTATGAGAGAGAGGAGTCCAGTATAATTCTAGTTAGGAGAGAAGCTTATGTCTCCTGAGCTTTGCATTTTCTAGGGCAATCTCTCCTGCTATAGGGGAATGAATAAGTTGCTAAGGAAAAGGAAGATTCGGCTAAGAATCCAGAACACCTTTTTCAGAACCATCTTATTCTCCATTTCAGCAAAGTGGCTTGATTTTCTTCCTATGTCTTCAGACAAACATGTTTGGAAACTGGCCCAAATTTCTAGCAGAACCACCGATTCTTAGGCTGAAGCAACCTATCCTTATTTTTCCAAGATTTGTTTGTTTTTTAGTACTGGGGAATGATTATTTTTTTTCCTGCTGAATTCTTTTGGCAGGCGGTCTTCTCTGTGATTTAACCTTTCTCTGTCTCTCTATCATCTCTTGCCGTGTTATCTATCTTGCCACCTACCCTCAATGGCACTAGACTTCTCTCAGCTCTTCTGGAAGAACAAATCACAACCTGTAATCAATCGTTTCTGTCTCTTCTCTCTCCCTGCCCTCATCAATACACATTGATTGGAAGCTTCATAAAGGCAAGGACCATGTTTATCTTGTTTATCATTACAGCCCAAGCATTCATCACAATACCAATTTTAACATAGCTCAGGTAATTTACTGAGTAATTCCATGTGTCCTTTAGTTCTTGATATTGCTTGTGATTAATTTTCTTAAAAGTTGGCCACTTTGCTCTGCCCTTCTATCTCTTAACTATCCCAAGTTCTTGCTTAGTTGCTTGGATCTCCTGGTTGGCTCTGAGAACCAATATTTCTACGTCGTCCCAGTTCACACTTGCCCACCACGCTTTGGCCCTCCTGCATGGATAGGTCCATGTTCTTTATGCATGCCCTGAGTCAGACGTGTGTACCTGGTCCTGACCTATTGCCTCTCAGGCACCTGCTAATGGCATTGGCTTTTCTCTGGGCCCAATTTCTCCCCTGTGTCTGACTTTCCTGAAGAAGGGTAGAGAAGCCACTCACATGCCTGAGAAACTTAATTCTAACCCCACTGGCCTTAGACCACTTTGGGGGGTACGCTTGATTACGACAGGGACTCGCACACCTCTGAGAAATAACACAGCAGGTCGGTTTTCATTTCCGCTCCGTCCTCCAAGGAAACAGGAAAGGCTGGCTAGTTCGTCATTTCTCCAGTCTTTTAGGTGTGGGTCTAACAAGTCATTCTACAGCTCACCTCAATGGAAAATAACACGTCTTTTCATTTCCAGGTGTCATCTTTACATAATGTCTCTTTCAATTTGGGAATTTCATGACTTATTCTCAGTTCTTCACATTAGACTTAATCATTTACATGTAACTGATTCTTCCATTAATCAGTAGAGTTTAATATATGCTCACAGGAATTCAGCTGTAATTTCCTGAATGACTTTTTGCCAATAATATTGTTACTCAGTCTTTATTTATTAAACTCAGTAATAAGTAACGTTACCATATTTCCTTTTCACATTTTTCAATCTTAACATACAGGAAGCCTTGGCTCAAGCCTTTTGGACTGATATGAAGCGCATGGATGACCCAGAGTGTTACTTTAATTCTTTGCCAAAAGAGTTGGAAGCAAAAAGAGATCGGATGGCACATCTACTTGAAAGTGTTGGCCTAAAACCTGTAGTTCCTGATGGAGGCTACTTCATCATTGCTGACGTGTCTTTGCTAGGTTTGTAAAGGTTTTCATAATTTCAAATATATAGAAATGTATGTGTGACTTTATGTCAGAATTACAGAGAAAAGATTGGTGTCGAAGCCCTATCAGCATTTTATCTTTGAAAAAATGACTTTCACAATGTCAGTGTTTTCTACAGTCATGTGAACTTTTAGGTCCTTGACCTTACATGTGACTGTGTTTACGTGATTATGGAGCCAGTTGTGTTCTCTTAAACATAGAATTTGCTGTCATCTGGTTCTGGTGTATAACTTAAAACACTGAAATCATGTATGTAACCTGTGCTATTTTGAGTAACATTGTAGTTTCCATTTTTACTTGAGAAAAATAAGATTTCTAAACTGTCGATGCCATCAGGATTATTTGCCACATTAGAATATACTGAAATGGCCGAAACCAGTTTGGCTCAATGGATAGAGCGTCGGCTTAGGGACTGAAGGGACCCGGGTTCGATTCCGGTCAAGGGCATGTACCTTGGTTGAGGCATATCCCCAGTAGGGGGTGTGCAAGAGGTAGCTGATCGATGACTCTCTCTCATCGATGTTTCTAACTCTCTATCTCTCTCCCTTCCTCTCTGTACAAAATCAATAAAATATATTTTTTAAAAAAGGATATACTGAAATGAAGTAAAGAAGGAAAATAATATTAATTGAGGTCCTACTACATGCCTGGCACTTTCAAACATGCTTTTGAAGAAGCATTCAGCTCCATGTTTAAAGACACGAAGACTTAGAAAGTTTTAACTAACTTGTCTGAATTCACACGGCTAGATTCCCAATAACTCTGTTTCCGAAAGTATTACCTGAAGCTATTGTAATCCTGACATGCCATACAAATAGGAAGTTAGAAGCATGATAACATTTTTCTTCAAAAAAGACTATAGTATTAATACTAAACTTAATAAAGCATAATTTATTCAGACAAAAATTATAACTATTTTAAATACGTAGTTTTAAATGTTTTAAGGCTCTGTTACAATGAAGCTATATGCCACTGAACTTGAAAACCTTTTGTACAATATATACCAAATTTTATAAATTTGCCGGGTTCTTAAGCTCCTATACTCTGAGGTTTTGAGATCATTTTTCTTTTATTTGGTCTAAATGTGCAACTCATTTCATGAAATGATAAAAAGAAATAGCACAGTTTTCACTAATTGTATTTTCACTTTAAATTAGAAAGCCACAAAATATTCAACATGAATTAGTTTATTGAAAATAAATTAATTTATACTTTATCTGCTCTCCAAAAGAGTTTGAATTAACTCAGATTAAAAGTATTTCATTTACTATCCAACCTAAGAGGTCAACAGATCTGACTTTGAATTCTAGTTATGTCAAGTGCTGGCCATGGCAGTTGAGTATGTTATTACTGTATCTAAGCTTCAACTTCCTCATCCATAAAAAGGGGATAAAAGTGATACCTTCCTTGTAGGGTTATGGGAAGGAAGACTTCCTAAGATTCTGCATCGAAAGACCAATGTCTGGCATAAAAGTTGATATTATTATTATTGCTGAGTGATCTGGGTTTTGCAACTGTAAAAACAACGCTGAATTCATGAACAACTACTACCTGTTGTAATTTCCTCTGGCTGCTCACAGTGCATGTAGACATAATCCTAGTGCCTGGTTCCTTATAGGCATTGTAAGATATTGGATATACTCAAACATGTATTTCAATACTTGAAGGAATGTGTTTTTACATTTATGCTTAAAGTTGTTGGTTTTGCCTTAAACCCAGCAGCAAATTCACTTGACCCATTTATATTAAGCCCTTTACATGAGCAGAGCACTGTGGCTTGCACTTACTCAAATCCAAAGTAAGGCCTAATTCTGAAATAAAGAAAATCATCTTTTTAAAGAAAGAAGTCATTTATACAATAATGTGTGTGTTTACTTATAATATAAAATAAAGCATTGGAGGATGAAAAAAATAAATATTTCAGTCTACCTAGGTTTACTTAGGATTGTAATTGGCATTATTAACTCAAGACCAAACTTTGCAGCAGCAAATAGAATTAGTTACTGTTGAATAAAAGGAAGCCCAACAACTTTTTAGATGAGAATAATTCTTTCCTGAAACCAAACTTTTTGAGATAGTAAATCCTAAAAAAAATTTAACACATTGTGATATTGAACATCAAAAGGACAATGATGCAACTTTTGCTTGTATATTTTGCATTAAGCTCTTAAACAGTTTTCCATTCTATATTTAGTCAATCAGTCCTGCATAAAATACTAGTTTAAGTCTTGGACCTTGAACTAGTGTGGTTGTAATAAGAACAGAAAGGATTTTGGTTAGAAAACTTTTTGTAATGATGGAAAAAAGAAAACTTTCTTTTTCATTGTCTTCCTTCACTTGTGGGGGGAAATGTAATGTCTCTAAGACTCTTCTATATATGAAGACAAGTTTCTTTTATTTTACTCGTTCATCTTTGCTCAGATTAATTTGAATGTAAAAATTCTTCCATGTACTAGAGGCAGTTCCACCATATACTAAAAACAACAAAACTCATTTGATAGTAGCTTGAAAATAAAAACAAACCATAAAGTACTTGAACATAGTAATGACTTCCCTTTAAAATTCATAGCAATCACTAACTGGTTAATAGTTTTGAGTATTTATGATATAGTAGGTATTATCCTAAGAGCCTTACAAATGTTGTTAGAGAGTGGGAATTTTTGAGCACTAGTGAGGCTGTGGACTATGCCCCAGATAGAGTTGTCAGTGCTGACACCAGGCCAGGCCTTGAGATACGGTTTCATGGCCCCTTCCCAGCACGTAGGCCTTCTTTCCCAGAACACTGTCAGCTTTCTGAAGAACAGGATGACCCTGTAAATAACATGGTCGTCAATGGCATGATCCTGATGTTGCTTAGGAAAAACTGTTTTGTCTTGGGTTGCTTGTTCTGCAAAAACAGGATGTGGTAAATAGGCTTAAAAGCGGTCCTACACAAAGAGTTGCTGCTGCTCTCTGGACTTCCTGCGTGGATAAAGGCAGAGCAGTCGCCGGCTAATAAAGGCTCCCTCAATTTTAATTTGTTCTGGATTCCAGTGGTCATTCACTCACCTTTGCTCCTCAACAATGTCATATTCTCACTAAAGACCAATGAGATTGGTGCTATTATGTCCTCATTGATAGGTGAGAAAAATAAAATAGAGAATCAAGAAATTTACTGAAGTTAATCAACTAATACGTAGCAGAGCTGGGCTCTGAACTCTGAGATCCATGCCCTCACCAAGGAACTGTGTGGGGGTTTTTTCTGCCATACTAAGCAGCTCTCTAGACCAGTGACCTTCATCCTAGAACTAAAAATGGAAACATTTGATTAGAAGATAAGATGACAAGTAGAAGATGATTACAGTTGTTTTAGTGGGATAGTAAGGTCCAAAATTATTGAAGAGATAATGGGAATATAAAAACCAATTTTGATTTTCATAGATTACTTAAATACCCAAATGCTATTATAATATGGTTCAAACTTGTACCTTTAGTAAATATTTTTAGTTTATTTGAGGAATTCTGACTTAAGTTTTCAAAAGAAATAGATTCTAGCTTTCTTATAACTATCAAATATTTAGAATTATATTTATTCCCTCCTTTCCTTTTAAGCGCCACAGCAATGAATTCCTCTTTTCTAAGCTTTACTAGAACAAGTAGTACAGTTAGTATCAATTGCAGTTAGTTAATATCCTCCTTTACTTCCTCCTATTGCTATAGGTCATCACTCCTTTCTCTGGGTTACCTTTGAATACACTACTATTGTATACTTATCACATGGAGTTTTCACATAATTTACAGTTAACTTTTCAAAGTGATCTTTTTTTGTTAGAGCCAAAAATGAATTAACTACATATATACATATATATGAAACACTTGATTACATATATATGTGTGTGTGTGTGTGTGTGTGTGTGTGAAATACTTAACTATATATAATGAAATAATTAATTACATATACATATGTGTGAAATACTTAAAATAGTAATTTAATTTCCTCATCTATAAAGTGAAGATTATAGCTAACTCTTAGAATTGTAAGACAAATGAGAGAATTATCTAACATGCTTAGCAAATAGTAAATGCTCAATAAGTGGTAGTATATATTATTAGCATTATTATATGAGATTGTTATGGTCTTGAAAGCACAGGTGAGATTAGAAATAAAAATCATTAAGTAAAAACATATTAAGATTTTTTTTTTTAAATATAAGTGAAACTTTCTTCAATGTCAAGGTTTTTACACCATTAAGTGAAGAGACCCAGTAGTATTCAGTGTGGGGAAGCAAAGAAAGGAAACTATCTCAATCTGTTTTGAACAATAAATTATAAAATTTCAATGATTATAGTAATCATCAAAATAGCTTTCTGCCATTCAAAATGATCTAAGAGTACAAATCAATGTAATTGAAACAATATGAAATATGAATTGCTGAAGCTAAACGCCAGAGAAATATCTAGCCCAGACCTGAAAGTAAGATTGGAGCAAGACATAAGAATAGGAATACATATTTTCCCCAAATTTAACATTTTTTTTAAAGCATAATGTGAGTAAGAAAGAGATAAACAATAGAAGATATCACTTGGAAGATCAACACAGATATTTTTCCCTTTACAAATAATCCTATATAATAAAAGGGTAATAGGCAAACGGACTTTAACAGCAGAACGACCACTCGACCAGTCACTATGAGGTGCACTGATCACCTCTTAGTCCCTTTCCCCAGCCAAAAGGCTCCCATCACCGAATGGCAAATGGGGAACCAAGGGTGGGAGGTGGGGGACACGGGCGACGCCAGGCCAAGGCCCCTGCCCCAACAGTCACGCCACACACAGAGGGCAACCCGTGATGGGGTTGGAGCTGGCCAATGAGGGGAAACAACTGACCCCTCAGTCCCTCTCCCTGGCCAGCAGGCTTCCATCGCCCAATGGCGAACAGGGAACCAGGGGTGGGTGGCAGGGATGGCTGCAGGCAGCCGGGGAAGATGGCCCTGATTGCAGGCCAGGCCTAGCGACTATACCCACGCATGAATTTCATGTGCTGGGCCTGTAGTGAATAATATTAGTCTACGCATTCAACAAATACGCTTTTTATTGTTTATATGCTAGACACTAACCTAGGATTTAGGGCTAATGGTAGATTGCAATACAGACACTTTTCCTTTGCCAATGACTTTTTGCAGGCATAAATGTTATGATGAATATAAATTTAGATGCCATTTTCTTAATAATGATCACAGACTTTTATATTATTTCTAGGTGGAAAGGCAACACTTCTTTTCTTCCCCTTTCTACTCTCTTCCAGGGCAAAGGGGTGTATGCACAAATATGATCAATCAAATGCAATTTGAGTACTGCCTTAGAGTATAGTTAAAGCTAATCTGTGGCATCTCGCTTTCCACTCCACCATGTGCAATATGGGACTTTAGCAGATTTTGTGAATATCTCATAAGATAAATTTGAATTTAACAGGCTTAAATTAAATACATATTGGCTCAGGTGTAATACATAGGTTATCTAATTTTCATTGTTTTAGATGCAGACCTTTCTGATATGAAGAACAGCAATGAACCTTATGACTATAAATTTGTGAAATGGATGACTAAAAATAAGGTAAAAGTTATTGGCCTTTGCAATATCCTGCTGTATTTTATAGTTAATTTATGAAGGAGACCTGCTGACATGCTTTGAACAATGTTAACTATAGTTTTGTTACGTGATATTCCACAAGTGCCTATTTGGAGAATTTTTTAATCTCTTTTTTCCCTGAAATTGTTATGAATACTTAGAAGTATCAATTTTTTCTAATATTTAGGATTAATATGTGAAATGTAAGTAGTTTTCTTATTTTACCTTCCTGTTTTTTTTTTAGAAACTCTCAGCCATCCCAGTTTCAGCATTCTGTAACAAAGAGACCAAATTACAATTTGAGAAGTTTGTGCGATTTTGCTTTATTAAAGTAAGTTTTCTGTTCTACTTAAAAAAAAAAAATACTTATAATGTCTTTCCTTTTTATATATAAATCACCATTTTTTTTCTTTCTAGACATGATGTGCTTATAGAGCAATTTTTAAATTTTGTCTAGTTGCAATTAATTGTGTACCAGAATAAGTGTCGAGTTTAAACATAATCAGACTTCTTACCATATAACATTACAATGGCTAGCATGCAATCAAAACTTTCTAAACATGTGGAGACTCAAAAAAATGATGACCCTTAATAAAGGAAATAAAGCAGTCAATAGAAATATATCTCAAGGTGACCCAGATAGAGAAAGTAGTAGACAAGGATTTTTAAGCATATATTATAAGTAAACAGATTTTATAAGTATGTAAAGGAAATATTGACAGATTAAAATAATCAAGTGAAAATTCAAGAACTAAAGAGTGGTATCTGATAAGAAAATATATATGTGGCATTAAACATAAAACATTGAGAATGACAGAAAAGAAAGGGTCCACTTGAATACAGATCCATAGGAATTATTCAATCTGAAGAACAGAGAAGGAAGTTACTTTTGAAAAATAACAGAGCCTCACATTTGTGAGGCAATATCAAGTGACAGTTTGCATGTAATTGGAGTACCGAGAGAGAGAGAGAGAGAGAGAGAGAGAGAGAGAGAGAGAGAGAGAGAGAGAAAGAGAGAATGTAAAAAAAAATCTCTTAAGAAATAATGGCCAAAATGTTTCCAGATTTGGTGTAAAGTAACCTATAAATCTAAAAGTTCATACCCTAGCAGGTTTGGCTCAGTGGATAGAGCACCGGCCTGAAGACTGAAGGGTCCCAGGTTTGATATAGGCCAAGGGCACATGGCTGGGTTGTAGGCTCAATCCCCAGCATGCAGTACGTAGCCAATCAATGATTCTCTCTAATCATTGGTGTTTCTATCTCTCTCTCTCCCGCTCCCTTCCTCTCTGAAATCAATAAAGAAATATATTTTTGAAAAATAAAAGTTCAGTGAACCACACAGGATATACCAAAAAAACAGCCCCATGCCTAGACACACCATGATCAAACTGCTACAAACCAAAGGTAATGATAAGATTTTGAAAGCAGCCAGAGAAAAACTAAACTTCACAAGCACAGGAATAGATATGAGTGTTACCTAACTACTTATTAGAAACAATGAAGACCAGGTTACAATGAAATGACATCTTCAAAATGCTGGCATAAAAAAAAAAATAGATCAGCCCATAATTCTATATGTAGGAAAAATATCAATTAAAACTGAAAGTTATATATACATAACTGATAAATAAAAGCTGAAAGTATTTATCATCAGATCTGTGAAAAAAATCTGAATTTATTATTGCAGTTTTTAATATGTGATTGCTACTGAAAACAGTCATTCTGGCATTAAGGCACTCTACACCAACACATCCATCTGTAAACCTAATCAGATTGATATAAACATTGTTTTCAAGTTTTAGAGACAACCTACAGACTATGGAAGACTCCCCATAGTAGAATATGAATATTAACAACCTAACAATATCAACATTTTTTTAAGTAAATCTTTATTATTCATATTATTACAAATGTTCCTCTTCCCCACCCCCCCCTCCATTGCTCTCCTCCACCAGGTTCCCACCCCACTCTCTGCCCTTTCCCCACCCCCCATTGTCCTCATCCATAGGTGCACAGTTTATGTTCAGTCTCTTCCCACATCCCCTCTCCCTTTTTCCCCAAGAATCGTCAGTTCACTCCCCTTCCATACCTCTGATTCTATTATATTCAACAGTTAATATTGTTCATCAGGTTTTTTTTTTTTAATTTCCTTGGTTTTTAGATTCACCCTGTTGATAGTTACGTATTGTTGTTCATAGTTTTTATCTTTATTTACTTTCTCTTCAGAAAGAACCCCCTTCAGCAATTCATAAAATTCTGGTTTGGTGGTGTTGATCTCCTTTAGCTTTTTTTTTATTAGTGAAGCTCTTTATCTGGCCTTCGATTCTGAGGTGGGTATTTTTGGCTGTAGGTTCTTATTATTCATCACCTTGAATATTTCTTGCCATTCCCATCTGGCCTGCATGGTTTCTGTTGACAATCGTATGGGTGCTCCTTTATAGGTAACTACCTGCTTTGCTCTTGCTGCTTTTAATATTCTCTGTCTTTTGCTCTTGGAATTTTAATTATGATGTGTCTTGGTGTGGTCCTCTTTGGATCCCGTTTGTTTGGAGTTCTGTGCACTTCCTGGACTTGTAAGTCTAATTCTTTCACCAGGTGGGGGAAGTTTTCTGTCACTATTTCTTTCAGTATGTTTTCGATATCTTGCTCTCTCTCATCTTCTGGGACTCCCATAATTCTGATGTTGGTTTGCTTGAAGTTGTCTCAGAGGTTTGTTACATTATCTTCAATTTTCTGGATTCTCTTGCCTTCTTGCTTCTGCGGAGGAGTGTCTTCTGGCTCATTTTGTTCCAAATCTTTGACTTGATTCTTGCGATCTTCCATTCTGTTTTTAGGACTCTGTATAATATTTTTTTATTTCAGACAATGTATTCTTTATTTCTTGTTGATCCCTTATAATTTCTTGTTGATCCCTTATTATTTCTTGTTGATTCCTTATTAATTCTAGTTGATCCCTTTTCATATCCTCATAGGTCTTATCAACCTTTTCTAGGAAATTGTTGAAAAACCTTATAAGCATAGATTTGAACTCTATATCCAGTCGCTTTTTGTCTTCCATTTCTTTCGTTTGTGATCTATTTTCTTGTCTCAGCATTTTTGCAGCTTCCCTGAGATGGTAGCCTTAAAAGTCTCTGCTTGGATGGGGCGGGGTTTCAGGGTAGAGCCTACAGCCTTGGCTTCCGTCAGCCCCACCCTATGCGGCTCCTGAGTCTCAGTATTCCCCCAGGGTCCTTTAGTACTCGCTGCAAGCACCTCTGAGAGAAAGGTGTCCTCGAGTTTCGCCTGCTACAAAACAGTCTAGGCTCTCCCCCAATGAGCCAGGAACTGGGGTTCAGTTCAGTTGGAAGTGGAGTTGGAGGTGGCGTTCAGAGTTATGCATTTTTATATTTAAATATTCACTTCAACTTGAATTTATTTTTATATGTAATGACAATTATTTCATTTATTTACAGAAAGACAGTACACTAGATGCTGCTGAAGAAATCATCAAGGCATGGAGTAGACAGAAGTCTTGATAACTGCAAACTGCTTTACTATTTCTATTAGATGACCTAGAATTGTATTAGTACTGCCACTCACTGGATATTGCAAAAACAAACATTTTAATACAAATAAAATTTAAAGAAATATTTTCATTGTTTTTTCCAAGCAGATTGAAATGTATTAAACACTTTCCACTAGCCTTTTACAGGAATCAATATAGCATTGTGGGTAAGAAATGTGAAATGCTGGTTTATGCTTAACCTCTGTGTGCTTCAGTTTCTTTATAAAGGGGAATAAAAGTAGCACCTATGTTATATGAAGTTTATGAGTTTTGTGTAAGATTAAATGGACTGAAGTATGTAGAGCCTAGCAAACAAATATTCAACCCTTTTTATCCAATTTTACTTCTTCACCACCATGTAAAAACTCTTAACCAGTTACACCCTCCTCGACTTCATATTTTTGCTTTACCTACCCACCAGTAGTTCCTTCCCCTTCACTGACTTTGAACTGTGCTCACAGTTTTGCCTCTATCCCAAGTAAGGCCATAATCTGAGATGGCTTCAAGGTCCACATGGGTTAGCTCAGCTTTCGGTACTTTGACCTTCCCATCTCTGGTGATGTTCACCTCCACTTCAGCCACCCACTCCCTTTGCCACACCCTGAACCTTTTATCACTCCAGGCTGTTACACCTTTGAAATAATAAATTAGTTATCTCACATGGTAACCACCTATCCTTAGAATATTTTCCTTTAAACACTCTACCTCTCTCTCTTCTCAAAATATCTCTTCTTTTAACTCAAAATAATTTCAAGTCTATTATTTCACAAAAAAATTATCCATGGCCCTCTTACATCATAACCCACTAGAATCCTTGTTGAAAATATATTCTAGTCTTCAGATCTACTGAATAATAATTTCAAGATCGGGCCCTTTCCAGGTGATACTTATATCTATTAAAGTTTGGTAATCACTGCTGCAAGTCCATAGAACATTCTCCAGGTATTTTGATCCTATCAGTCCCCTTATTTTTACTCCCTTCGTCATCCAGCTTAGATTTAAACTCCCATCACTAGGCTGCTGAGTGCACTGCTATAGCAAAATGCACAATTGGACAGGTTGTAATTGACCTTAACTCTTCTATAATCCCTTAATGAGCTTTCTCTACCTTTTCCTATAGCAGCAATTTCTAATATTCTTCCATTCCCCATAAAAAAATATTCAACCTTCTTCACACCTCAAAGTCTACCACCAACAGCACAATTAAGTGACCTCATCTCCCACTTCTGTGAAAAACAAAGCAAAATGTAAAGAGCCAGAAGTACCCAGCTGGTGTGGCTCACTGGTTGAATGTTGACCTATGAACCAGTAGGTCACGGTTGGATTCCCAGTCAGGGCACATAAACAGATTGCAGTCTTGATCCCCAGTAGGGAACGTGCAAGAAGCAGCCAATCAATGGTTCTAGTCATTGATGTTTCTATCTCTCTCTTCCTCTCTGAAGTCAATAAAAATATAATTTAAAAAAGAAAAAGAATAAGGAGCAACCTAAAACAGCAATCTCAACAGGAATTCCAAGAATGAGCTTTTGACACGAATGTCAGCATCCATCCTTGTGTCATTTCTTCTGGGGAATGAGGACAGATTTGGGGGGGGATTGTGGTTAAGTAGTACCAAACTCAGCCATCCAGAAGGAGGCCCAGGACCTCAAGAGCAAACTATTACATAGCAATACAAATCCCATGTAAAAAAATTTTTTTAAAATATATATTTTATTGATTTTTTACAGAGAGGAAGAGAGAGGGATAGAGAGTTAAAAACATCGATGAGAGAGAGTCACTGATCAGCTGCCTCTTGCACACCCCCTACTGGGGATGTGCCTGCAACCAAGGTACATGCCCTTTGACCAAATCGAACCTGGGACCTTTCAGTCCACAGGCAGACGCTCTATCCACTGAGCCAAACCGGTCTCGGCCCCATGTAAAATTTTAAATTTATCTAGTACACTCTTGCTGGGGACTTGATAAAATTCTCACTCATTGTGGCCTTGTCCAATGCTAATCATACTGATAACTGGAGGAACAGTCAGCCGGGGTCTTTTTTCTTTCCCAGGGTCATCTCCTGGCACCGAAGTATGAGCTTCATAGACCAGAAGATTTAAGTGAAAGTGTAGAAAATGTATTACAAGAAGATTTAGACTCCCCTTTTCAGGGAGGGGGGCCCGATAATGGACTGCCCCCTTAAAGCCTTGTAGTCCAGGCTATATATTGTAGTTGCTACAAGCCTGTTTCTATATCTATCCGTGTTGTCACCTGATCGATTCCTTCATTGTTCTTGCCCAGCAACAGACCTGAACTTTCTGTTGCTATGTGTTGGTACACTGTGTTGCTGCAGCCCTCCCTTGGTTCCCCATGCCTCCCACTTTGAGTGCAGAAACATTTTGTTATTTCTGCATGGTTGGTTCCTGTGATTAGGCTCCTCAAACTGCCGTGTCTGCCTCTGCCTATGTTCCACCTGCCTTTGTTTTCCCACTGGACTCCTACTCTATCTGCCTACGTTTCAAGTTAGCCCTCTCAGTATGGCCTATGCTCTGGATCCCATTTCTCTTCACATTCTCTGGGACTTGGTTTTGTCCATTCTCTTGTGTCTTCAGCAATGACTGGATCTTTCTCTTCCTCAGAAGTGAGACATGTTCACATCTCTGTCATCTCAGAAAAGTCTTTCCCTGCCCTGGCCGATTAGGCTCAGTGATAGAACATCAAACTGCAGACTCAAGAGTCCCAGATTCGATTCCGGTCAAGGGCATGTTCTGTGGTTGAAGGCACATACCCAGTAGGGAGTGTGCAGGAGGTAGCTGATGGATGTTTCTCTCACATCAGTGTTTCTAACTATCCCTCTCCTTTCCTCCCTGTTTAAAAAAAAAAAAATCAATTATATATATATATATTTTTTTTATTTTATATTATATATATATAGATAGATAGATAGATAGATAGATATTTTTTTTTTTTAAGAAATAAAAGTCCCTGATACTGACTACCACCCTAATATCTTTTTTTTTTTTCTTCTGGGCAAAATTTTTCTTTATATTTTCTCTCCCTTCTTGCCTCCCTCCATTCTATCTTTGTTCCTTCCTTTAATAAATATTCATTGAACGCCCTCTCTATGTGCCAGGCACTATTCCAGGAACTATATATGCCCTTAGGATATGTCAGTAAACAAATAAAGATCTCTGTCTTCTAGAGCTTCTGTGCAGGGGAGAGAGACTAACTAAATCAGAAACATAATGAAATATATTGTACGTAAAACTTATACATGGTAATTGTATGAAGAAAGAAATGAAAGTGTTAGGGGAGCAAATTAGAATTTTGAACTGATCAGATGAGTCTCATGGAGGGATATGGAAGCAGACTTAGAGGAGGGGAGGAAGAAAGCCTTGTGAAGATCTTAGGGAGAAACATTTCAGAAAGAAGGAATAGCCAGTGCAAAAGCTCTAAGAGGAGGGTGCCTGGTATACTTTATGAAAACCAAGAGAATGGCATGACTGGGTGGAATAACCAAGGCACAGAGTAATAGGTATTAGGTCAGGGAAGTAACATATGCCCTCAAAGACTAGCATAAGGATAATGTTTTGATCCAGAGAATCAGTGTGCCATTCCATCATACTTTTATAAAATATGTAAGATAATATTTTTGTAGCATGGTTTATAATTATTCCATATTGGGGACAATGGAAATGTCTATCAATATTCTAATAATTAGTCCAGCCAGTGTGGCTCAGTTGGCTGAGCGTAGCCCCATGCACCAGGAGGTTGTTGGTTCAATTCCCAATTAGGGCACATGCCCAGATTTTGGACTCCATTTCCAGTAGGGTGCATGCAAGAAGCAGCCGATGGATGTTTCTATCTCTCCCTTTCCCTTCTTCACTCTGAAATCAAGAAAAATATATATTTTTAAAAACACTTTAATATTTAGGAAATACATCAACACAATAAAATACCATACAACAATGAAAATTCACAAACTAGCTATACATGGTAACCTAAAGGAATTTCATCAACACTGTTTTCCCCATAATAGCTTCAAAGAATGAGCTGGAGTTCTCATTCGACAGTGTTCTATAATGCTGTGATCATTGAAGTCTTCCAAGCAAGATCCAACCCTGGGGTTCTAGAATTTCTGTGCCTACTTGAGTGATGGGTTTTTTTTTCCCAATGTTTTGGTCCAACAGTCAAGCCTAGGACTGGTCCATAGGGAACTCCATATCTGGGTGCTTCAAGGGAGAAAGGTTACTGTCTTTTTCATTTAGTCAGAATGAGGAGAACTGACTTGGGAAAAGAGGAAGGCAGGTATTTTAAATATGGGGTCCATGGGAAAATAGTGCAGTAATGGATCAAGGAAATTTTTTAAGTCTGGCCTGATATCACTTGGACTTTAGAGGCCAAGGCCAGACCTGAGGCTTGCAGATGCTGAACTAGATATCCAGGCTCAACTATAGTTAGAGACAGTGTAATTGCTATGGTGGGAAACCTAAGGGTGTCAGTTGTACAGAGAAGTCTGAAAAAACCTCTTTGGAGAGAGACTGAAACATCAATGGTGAGAGAGAATCATTGATCCACTCCCTCCTGCACACCCCTTACTGGGGATCAACCCTGCAACCAGGCAGGTGCCGTTTCTGGGAATCAAACTGTGACCTGGTTCATAGGTTGATGCTCAAATATTGAGCCACACTGGCCAGGCCACTAAATATTTTAAATTATTTCTAGGTAAAACAAGAAGTATCCTTGGTCTCAGTTGGATAAACACATGGGTAAAAAAAACCAAAAACCTCAACTAAGTTCCTGAGACATGAGAATTTCATTTTATTGCTGCTCTGAGAATAGATCTAATTACTCAGTCATGCCAATTGAATAGGAAGTTCACCTGCTGACAAACAGCTATCTTGGGAAATAACAAAATAATTTGTAGAAATAATTGGATTTTCTAATCAATATTAACTTCCTCACATTATACAACTGCTTCTGTCTTTCACATTTAATTCAGCCTTTTTCCTTATAATATGTAAAACTTTAATTTGTTTAATCTCATGATTAAAAAGGTGGAGCCCAGCTGGAGTGGATCAGTTGGTTGAGTGTTGTCCTGTGCAC